CCTAAATCTGAAACATGACAATTCCTACCCAAGTCTCATGGTTCTGTCCTCTGGAACCAAGCAAGACTAGTCTAGCCTTTCAAATATCTGAACACAGCTATCATGTAGTGCCCTACATCCCTCCAAATATTCCATTTCAACATTTATAGTTCCTTTGAATAATACACACACACACACACACACACACACACACACACACACACACACCCCTTTCCTAAAACGTGGTTCATAACTGAACACAGTACTCCAGATGTGGATTTACCAAGGTGGAATAGAACAGAACTGGACACTAGGCCTCCTTCAATGCAGCCTAGGATAGAATTAGCTTTTCTTGGCTTCTTTAACATCCTATTGACTCATATGGAGCTTGCAGTCTACTAAAGCCCCCAGATCTTTTTCACATTTTTCTCCTCTGTAAAAAGAAAAGGGCTGGGACTAGCTTCTCTTAATCCTTGGCATCTGAGTCCTTTCAACTCTCTGTGACTCTGTTTCCTGCTCTATAAAATAAGGATGAGAATACCTGAACCCCCTATTTCACAGAGTTATTGTGAAAAAAAGTGCTTTATCAGCCTCAAAGTACTACAGAAATGGGAGTTATTATTATTTTTTATTTATCTATTCATGACATAGTCTAAAATTCCAGAGCTACCTTGTTCAAGAGGGGTGGGCAAGGCAGTGCCCTGGGCTGAGATGGGAGAGATTGATGTAGGGGAGCCGGGCCTGCTGAGGAGCCCCAACCCAATCTAAGAGAGATTTACTGCCCACCAGAGCCATTTCCATAGACATGAGCTGGCTCTCGGGAGCTGTTAATCTCCTGGATTTCCCAGCCGAGAGGCAGGGGAAGAGAAAGATGGGCTTGAAATTTATAGCCAAACCACCTTACAGGGAAATCTTGTTCCCTGAGCTGCACTGGTTTTGCATTTTTCTTTAAAATACATACATACACACAACTTGTCTCAAAAAAAGAAAGAGGAAAGTTCATCCCTTTGGGAGGCAGAGAACGTTGAGGAAGGAAACACCAAAGTGCCCTAGATTTGAAATCAGAGCCCTGAATTCGAATTCTTATTCTGCCACCTTCCATCTCTATGAACTTAGACAAATCCCTTCCCCCCCTCTATGCCTCAGTTTCCCCACCTGTAAAATGAAAAGATTGTACTGAATGATCTCAATTGGACATTCTGTGTTTGAAAGCTCCTTCCAGCCCTGGCATTCTATGTTCTACAGCTCCTTCCCAATTCAACATTCTCTGTTCGATAGGATCCCTCCCAGTTTTGGTAATCATCACTTCACCATCATAGATTTATACAGTGGCAGAACTGGAGGGGACCTTAGAGAGACCATCTACCCCAACGTTATTTGGCAGATGAAATAAAAGCCAAAAGCCTAATAGCCAGAGACAAGAATACATTTGTCGAAGGTGCCCGAGTAAGTCAGTGGCACATCCAGGGCCAGGCCCCAGAGCTCCTAGGTCCCAGGCTGACTCCTCTAGGCTCCTGGCCTGGCCAGCTTACGCAGAAGGGGAGGGAGAGGGGGAGGAAGTGGGGACCAGGACGGTGGGAGGAAGCAGGATGGAGAAGGGGAAATGATAGGAGAGAATAAAAATTGGCTGAACTGATGGTAACAGCCCCTTTAAATCACTGTCTGATAAAGGCAGAAGTTCCCAAGGACGTTTCTTTCTCTTTCCTTGTTGTTTCTAATTAAAAAGAATTAGTCAGAGGAGTGACACGTTTATAGGGAGTGCTGAGCCCAGCTGAGCATCAGCGAAACTGCTGCACTTTATTAATAAAGAGAATAGCAGGGGGAAGAAAATGCCATTGCTAAGGCCAGAGGCCTGAGCGGAATCTCATTCTGAGAAAGAATAATTAATTACACAGGGGCCTGAGTTATTTCTTAAATTAACTAATTATTCATTAGAGTTTTCTCTCTCCTTTTCCTCCCCTTCCACCTTTTTTCCTCACCTTTTTTTTTTCTTTCCATTTCCTTCTGGTTCAGATAATAAAGACTTCCATTAGTAATTAGAGCATCCTGATTTCAGGGAGGACTGTGTTGGGGAAATGGGGAAACAGAGGCTCAGAGAGGAAGAAAAGGAGGGGCTTGATGATGGGTAGACACACAGAAAGGTGATGAAAGAATCTAGGTCTCTGGACTCCTAGGTCAGGGTTTTGTACTTTATCAACATTCTAGCATCACGCCATTTTGCATTTGGGAAAACTTAGACCAAAAGATAGGAACTGACTTGCCCAGGGTCATACATGGAGTGAGTCATTGTCAGAACTGAGATTTGAACCCACGAGTAGGTGTGGTGTAGTAGAAAGAACACTGCATTTGTTTGTTGTCAGCAGACTCGGGCTTCAGCCCAATTCTATGACTTCCTTACTAGCTGTGTGACATTATACAAATCACTTCCCCCTCTCTGGGCTTCGGGTTCTTCATTTGTAAAATAAGCAAGTTGGAACAGATGATATTGAAGGGCCCTTTCAGCTCCAAAACCCATGATCCTATCGCTGTCATAATCTATAACAATAACAATAATTGCTAACATTTATATAGTACTTGCTATGTGCTGGGCATGGTGCTGAACACTTCACAATTATCTCATTTGATCTCACCACCACCTTGGGAGGTAGGTGCTATTATTATCCCCATTTTACAGATGAGGAAACTGAAGCTAACAGGGGTTAAGTGACTTGCCCAGGGTCACACAGCTTGTAAGTGTTTGAGGCTGTATTTGAATTCCAGGTCCAATCCACTAGGTAAGGTGGTAAATATTTACCTAGATAAATAACAAAGAGTATTCCTGCATAAACCCAGGGCCATAGTTTTCCACAGGTCTCATGGCTGTGTCTCATCTGGAAGACTTCTCTGACTCTGAGGATTCTACTTGACGCTTCCCTGCAAAATTACTGATGTCACTGGATGTTCTGGTGTTTTTTTTCCCTCTTCTGAACTGCTTTCTCTGACAACCCATGAGCTGCTGATGTCACCAGCCAGATTGCATTCTCTCTGCTGCCATCTTCTGGTTCTCAACTGAATTTCAGATGGGATTAATTCTCCAAAGCAAAGCCGTGAATAGACTGCCCATAGCCTAGGGCTATTTTACCTCTTTGTAAATTAGACTCAAGGCAGACTCCACCAACTAGGAAAAAAAAAAGATCCCTTAGGTCAAATCTTTTTTTTTTTAATATTTTCTTTTAAGATAATTTGGTTTTGCCTCAGAAACCAGTCCCTTAAGTCCATCTGCTATTAGGACGAGGGTGAGAAAATTCTTTTCAGATCCCATCATGCCCCTAGAAGTTAATATTGGCCATGCAGATGACTCTGGAACCAGAAGGAAAGAGTGGAGGTGTCCATCTCTGTCATTCATTTCTTTTGTTGTTGTATTTAGTCATTTTTTAGGCACATCTGATTCTTCGTGGCCCCATTTGGGGTTTTCTTGAAAAAGATACTGACGTGGTTTGCCGTTTCCTTCTCCGGCTTATTTTACAGATGAGAAAACTGAGACAAACAAAGTTCAATGACTTGCTCAGGGTCACACAGCTAGTAAGTGTCTGGGCTGGATTTGAACTCAGGAAGAGAAGTCTTCCTGACTGCAGTCACTGCCCATCATTCCTATAGTGCCACCCAAATTACTGTTCTCCTTAACAAAAGACAGCAATGAAATAGAAGGGGCCGCCCCATCTGGCCCAGATTAGAGACAAATTAAGAGAAACACCAGAGGGGAATTTTGACAGCTACATCTTTTTCTACTTATTATAGAACCTAGTTCTGGCTTTCTGTTGAGGTTTTTTTTCTTTCCCTGGTTCTAGAATGCATTTTATCTAATTCAAACCTGCTATTTTATAGAGAGGGAAACTGAGGCATGGAAAAAAGAAGGGAGTTCTGGAACATAACAGAGCAGTTCAGTAGCACAGCCAGGGTTGAGCATAAGCCTTCTTGCTCTCATTTCACACTGTTCCATCTATTAACAACAGATAATCAAGTCTGGAGATAGGAATGAAGCAGATGAAGATGGAGGGATGGGGTCAGGGATAAGTATGATTTGTGTGGGATATGGAGATGGAGGGGATGAGGAGGTATGGGGATGGGAATGGTGGAGGTAGAACAGAGCTGAAGAGAATGGGGAATGTGGCAATAGGCATGGTGGAGATGAGAATGGGGATGGAGAGAAGAGCAGTCAGGGTGGAGACTGATAAACAGGGGGATGGGGATGTTGACCATCATGATGTTGGTGTTACTGATGAACGCCCAAGAGCCTGGCTAGAGACATCCTCCCATAGTTGGACTTATCGCTAGTTGTCCCCTGGAGCTCCTAAGGGGGGACATCAAGAGGCTTCCTACCCCCCAAAAAACCCTTCTCCTTTAACATCTCAGCAAATCTGCTTCCCTGCCCCCAGCCCCAGGATACTTCCAGGCCTTTTCTGCGAGATCAAGAAACCAGCTGTGCAGAATCGACTCCCCCATTACAGCTTCATTCCTGGCTCTTCCCAGAACTTTGTCCAATCCCACTGTTAAAGATCAATGCCTTCAAAACTGCTTCTGCCTTCCAGGACGCTAGTCTCCTCGGACACATCCTTTATAAACCAGGCGTTCTAATCACCTCCGAGGAAGAGAGTGTCCCAGGCCACCTCTCCCATTACCCTACCTGTCTGTACTCCACTGGATTAACCTGGATTTCTGTCTGATGTCTAGGTCATGCCCACATACCCAACTTGCAATGGGTTCCTCCACCCCACCTCTGCCTACTTTGATGACATCCAATTCCTACTAGAACTTGAGGAGAGATTATTTTTCTCCTTAGACAGAATGAGAAACCAAGGCAAACATGCAACTCAGGCCCTGTCAACCTTAGTAACATTTCTGGAGAGCAGTTAGACAGCAATGGCAGAGTCAAAAAAGGACAGGGAATGGAATCAGAAGATCCAGGTATGAGTCCCTGATCAACCACTTACCAGCTACATGACCTTAAACAAATCATTTTCCTTTCTCTGAGTCTAACTTTCTAGTATATAAAATGGAGATAATACAATTGTGTAACCCACCTTTCAGGTGGGTGTGAAGAGTATGACCTTGTTTGTGTAACCCAGCTTGCCTCGGTTTCCACATCTGTAAAGTAGGGCCATGATATTTATACTACTATTTCATAGAGTTGGAGTGAGGAAAGAAAGTGCTTTGTAGAACCTTAAAGTGCTACAGAACTAAAAGTCATTATTATGGGAACTTTGCGGATATATTGGGTTGAATTCTGATTTTGAAGGTCCTGGGAAATGCTGCTCTGTTCCTATTTCCCTGTTTGTCCATCACTGGCTTGGGGACCAGGTTAAGTCAGGAGACAGTGATCCCAGATGCACCTGGAGAGGGAAGCAGAGAATTCCCATTACACAGGATTGTATTAGGAAGAGCCTTGGATTGGAAGCGAAGCACTATGAGAAAAGCTCTGGTCTGGCTATTAAGAAACTTTGATATGAGTCCAGGTCACGTCACTGACTTACTGGATGACTTTTAAGGAAACTACTGATCCCTTCGGGTCCTCAGTTTTCTTATCTGTAAAATGAGTGAGCTGGGCTATTTAGCTTCTTAAAGCTCCTTCTTGACCTACTAGCTCTATTTAGAGATGTGATCATGGAAATCTATCTATCCATTGTACCACCTACGAGGAAACTGAGGCAAATAGGGTTAAGTGGCTTGCCCAGGGTCACACAGATGATAAGTGTCTGAGGCCATATTTGAACTCAGGAAGATGAGTCTTCCTGACTCTAGGCCCAACACTTTATCACTGCACCACATTTTAAGCTTTGTAAAATGCTTTATAAAAATTATTTCATTTGATCCTAGCAATATCACCATAAGGTAGATGTGAAAGATATTATTATTGTTCCATTTTATAGATGAGGGAACTGAGGCTCAGAGAGGTTAAATATTTTGCCTACCGGTTATCCAACTAACTAGTCATGATCAGAAGATGGATTTGAACCCAGGTCACTCCTGACTCTACATCCAGCAATATTTCCACTATACCAGACTAACCTACCACTTGCATTTATTGATTCCATTAGTACCACAATCACCAAGCTTTACTAGATGCCTACTTGTGTTTGTGACTCTTTGGGGCTCTGCAGAGAGAGAATCTTCAACCCTCAGCCTTGCCCTTGGGAACTCCACTGCCTAAGACATAACTTGTGTCACCTGGGGCAAGTTATTTCATCCCTTTACACCTGTTTCCTCACCTATAAAATGAAAGATATGGATCACATGGTCTCTAAGATCCCTTTAAGCTCTAAATCTAGGATCCTACGAGCCTGGGAGATGCCCAAGTATGGGACAAGCAGAGAGCAGAACAGAAATATTAGAGTTTTCTCGAAATGTCTAGGAATATGTGTTCTCTCCTCTATACTAGTCACTTAGTCTGATGCCCTGTAGCCTCAGGGGGATAATCAGTTGACTCTATGTTCTTTCTTATGCTGCTAAACTCTCTTTGATAGCCTTGATTTTTTCCACTTACCCTTACCCCACTGTTGACACCTTTACCCCCTCTGTTGACTACTTTCCCAAAGGCTTCATCACAGGAGAGGGTAGAAAGAAGGGCTAATAAAAGCTGCCTTTCCCAAATGATTCAGGGACAGGGGCTTCCCCAAGAGGTCTTCTATAGTCAATTCCTTCAGGGGTGTTGGACAGAATGAGGCCAAGGCTGTCAGTGGCCTAGCTATAAATTCTGCAGAAACAAACTCTGTCCAGGGTGAATTACCGGCGGCTGCTTCTTCTTCGGGCAATTAGCTATTGTTTTAATAACTGGCGGTAATGAGCCACGGAGGGGGGTTCAAACTGCCTGGCTCAGTTACTAGGGATTTATAGGTCCCTGGAGCTGCAACAGGGAGGAGAGAAGGCTGACTAAGAGAGAAGGTTTGCCTCTAAGCATTTCCACTCCCTCCTCCTAGAAGCCATCCTTGATTTTAAGAAAAAAATTAAGCAGCTTCTCAGGGTCTCACCATAAATGGAATAAACAGCCTGGAAAGTTGCCTCTACCCTCACAAATCATGGTGCCCCCAAGGATGGTTGACCCCTGGAATCCCTCCCCCAGGGGAAGAAATCTTCCATTCCAGGATTGCAGTTGACATTCCAAATGCAAACATCAATTGGAAATTAGGATAGAGATATACAGTCACCTGGAGGTGCCAGTGGCTGAGGGCAGGAATCATAGAATGTCAGAGCTAAAGGAAACTTGTAATATCAAAGATAGAATGTCAGAGCTGGAAGAAATTTGAAATCATTCAGTCCACATCTCCACCCAAAGCATAAGGAATAAGGGTAGAGTAAGGTAGGTCACTGAGAAGCAGAATGCCATCACAGAGGAGGGGAAATATGGCCAGAAAAGGAAGATGTACATAAAGCCGTACTTAATGAAAACTAAATACATCCCTTTGCAACTACCAGTTCTGCCCTTTTGGGCCAAGAATAATGAGTCTACCCCTTTCTCTATGTGGCAGCTCCTCAGGAACTGCCCTGACAAATTAAATCTTACATTCATTTGTATATACCCTACACGTATGGGCAGCCAAGTGGTGCAGTGGGTAAAGTACCAAGGCCTGGAGTCAAGAAGACTCATCTTCACGAGTTCAAATCTGGCCGCAGGCACTTACTAGCTGTGTGACTCTGGGCAAGTCACTTAATCTCTGCCTTAATTTCCTCAACTGTAAAATGGGGATAGTAATAGCACCTACTTCTCAAGTTACTGTAAGAATCAAATGAGAAAACATTTTTAAAGAACCCTGCACACAGTAGGCACTTAATATATAGTTGTTTCCTTCCTTCTAATTCAATTCAACAACCTTTTCATTAAATACCTACTATGTGCCACATATTGTGCCAGGAATGGGGGAAACAAAGTGAAATGTGTAAATAGTCTCTTTCCTCAAGGTGTTTGCATTCTACCGTGGTTTCCAAAATACATGGTTACCAGGTGGGGACTTTTCTACCCAAAGCTTTACAGCATTTTTTCTCCTTTTCATTCAAACTGCTGGGCAAGGGAAAGAATATTTGGCTAATTCATGCCTTTTGTATGCACATTCAGTTCCAGCTCAGAACCATTTTAAAAAGCTTTTATTCAACAGGCATTAAGAAGACAGGAGCCAAGCAGAGAATACCTGTGCATGCTCTGAAGTGGAGGGCATGACCTTTCCCCATTACATATTCTTGGAAGAAGGCTCCCCAAGCTTTGAAGGATGTTGGCACCAGGCAGGGGAGACAAAACTTGCTTAAAAGCCCAGACTCTTATTGGCTAGTTTCTCTATTACATATGCAAAGTGAACATGTAGTCATTTGGAAGAGGAGGGAAGAAGAACTGGAGTGGTTAGGAAAAAACTCATGTAGCATATGGCACATGAGGTGAACCCTGAATGGAGCTAGGGATTCCAAGAGGCAGAGGTGAGGAAGGAGAGCATTCCAGGCATAAAGGTGGAGATGGAATGTTGAGTACAGGAAACAGAAATAGGCCAGTTTGTCTAGAGCATAGAGGTAGAGTGAGTGTGTGTGTGGTAGAGTAATGTTGAATCAGTATGGAAAGATGGGGGTGGAGTTAAGTAGGATTTTTACCTCCATCTTTGCCCTTCTTAATACAACCTAAGTTTGTACTAGCCTTCTTTGGCCGCCATCACTATTTCCTAAACTGAGTCCACTCAAACTTCCAGATATTTTTCACATGAACAACTTCTCCTATTATGTGAAGATGATTTTTGAACCCAAGTACAAAAATTTATATTTATCTCAGTTAAATCTCATTTTCCTAGATTATCCTCAAAGTTCTAGCCTATTTCTGTTATCTAACATATTACTATATCTTTTCCTCCCAGCTTTGTGCCATCAGCAAATTTGATAAGCATATCATTTGCCTTCATTCAAGTAACTGATAAAAATGTTAAACAGCTGAGGGCCAAGGACAGACCTCAGGAAGATGCTCCACTAGAGACAGCCTTCCAATTTGGTAACAACCCGTTGGTGATGGCTAGACTCTTTGGATCCAATTATTCTCTGTCTCCTCCAAGCTATGATCTGCCTTGGGGTGAAAACTTGGTCTGCTCCTTTTGTATCTCCTACATATGTTTAGCTCCCTGAGGACAGAATCTAGGCCTATTTCTTCCGTCCCCTAGACTTTGGACGTCCTTACACTCCTGGGCCAGTTTCTTCTCTGTGTACTCCAAATTGCAAATTCACCAAAAGCCAGAACTGTATCTACTTTTTCTCTTTCTCCTCCCCACCATGGACTGCCAATTCTTTCTCAGGGGTGCACCTGTGCCTCCTGCTTCTGCTTCCCCCACACTATGAACTCCCTGAAACAGAACTTTATTGGTTTTTTTTTTTTTGGTTAGGCAGTGGGGTTAAGTGACTTGCCCATGGTCACACAGCTAGTAAGTGTTATGTGTCTGAGGCTGGATTTGAATGCAGGTCCTCCTGAATCCAGGGCAGGTGCTCTATCCACTGCATCATCTAGCTGCCCCCACAGAACCTTATTCTTCTCCTTCCTTGTGTCCCCTCACCCCAACATTGTGAGCCCCTTGGAAGATGGGGTTCAGTTCCATTCAGAATTAAGATCTATTTTCTTCATCCCTCCCTTCTCCCCAAATAAATACCAGTTCAGTCTCCAGTAGGATCTCAACAGCTCCATCATCCCACAGGTATCTAAAGTGGGTCTAAATGTCCTCACCTGGTCTTGGTCTCCTTGTGATTAATATGTCACAATATGAACATATCTCACGTCATCAAAACAGGTTGCTAGAAAGCAGAGCCAAAAAAGTCTTCACAGATCTTCTAGTTCAATCTCCTCACAGAATCTTCACCTCACATCAATAGTACAACAGAGGAAAATGAGGCTCGAAGAGGTCAGTCAATTTTCCTATGGTCACACAATAAGTCAGAAATAAAATTCAGGTTTTGTGAACTCCAAGTTTGGAATTTTTTCTCATTGTCAATCCCTTCCCCCCCCCATCCTAAGTAATGAGATGCATGCACATTAATAACAATTCAACAAACATTTGTCGATTGGCTACAATACACATAGAGCCCTATGATCATCCCTGAAATTAAAAATGTCAGAGCTCCCGGCCTCAGGGATCTTATAATACAGCAGCAAATCCAAATAATGAGGAGGCATGGTAAATGGGATGAAGGAATGGTCTAGACTGTGTGCTCCAAAACATCTGAGGGAGGAAAAACTATTTTAAGCTGGGGGAATTCACTCATTCATTTATTGAGCAAACATGTATTAAGCACTTCCTGTGTGTGGTTCCCTATGTTTAGAGTAGAGGCAGATCAGCAAGGGAGGAAGACATAAACACAAGAAAATATGGCACATGATAATATGGAATAAGTGCATTGCAGAGGGGCAAACAAAAGGCTATGTGAGGTCAAATAGGAGATCTTGTTTGCACTACATACTTGAAAGGATTGTTGGGAGCAAATTAGAATTGAGACTAGAACCCATGTCTCTGTATTCACTCAAACTCACGCTTACACACTCAGATATATTATAGCTGACTCATGCCTAATCAGGCAGGAATGACGGGGAGAGAGGCCCTAGCTAGACACCTGTCTCCATCAGCACCATGGACAGCAGAGCAGGATTAGCTCATGTCTCAAGGAAGCTGGCAAGGGGTAAAGGCAGCATTTTTGTAAAAGAACCAAGCGTTGACTGATATTTTATATTCTTTTGCAATTTAAGAAGTGTTATGGACACCCTAAAATAAATGGAGACTAAACTTTCACATATCATCAAAAGGATTTTTCAAGAATTTATTTTTTTGAGTCTTATGTTACGGTGAGAGGCAGTAGTAACCAAATGCCTTCTTATTTACCAGAGAAGTCTTTGATTAAGGTAGCATTATATGATGTAAATTAATAATAACATAAATATTAATAATAATTAATAACCATTTTGTTGATTACATTAATGATTAGAAATTTGGTCACATGTATTACTGTATGCAAATAATTATATTACTATGAATTACATGTTAATGTTATTGGTAGTACTATTATTGTTATCATTTCTATAACACCATGATGTTTAACAAAAAGCTTTTCAACACTGTTAGGTGCTGAAAAAATGGAAAGTATCTGAGGCTGAATCCTGATACACTTACCAGCTGTGCAGACTTGGGAAGGCATTTAACTTTTCCGGGCTTCCATATTCTCGTTTTTAAAATAAAGTGGCTATAAAAGATTTTTTCAAAGTCCCTCCCAGCTCTGATGTAAAGTACTCTTCTTTTAACCACCACCCTATACACATACCTTGTGTTGGGGTTGTTGTTATTGTTTTTTTCACTCCACTTCAAAAAAAAATGATCCCTTTAATATATTTGGATAGCTGGGCAACCTTTACCTATTACCTTATGTGATCCCTACCACCTTTGGAGATGATAGATACCCATTTAACAGAGAAAGAAACTGAGGCCCAAAGAGGAAAAGTAAGTTGTTAATGGTTAAAGAGCAAATTAGAATTGAGACTAGAACCCATGTCTCTGCATTCACTCAATCAAAAAAAAAAGGTTTGGAATAGTGGAAAGAGAGCTGGCTTGGGAATCAGGAGGTCTGAGCTCCAAGATTAGGGTGGTGCAGGGGAAAGAACACTGGATTGAGAGCAAAAAGGACCTTTGTTCAAATCCCAGACCTGGTTCAAGCAAATGCCCTACCACTTGCTATCTATGTGACCTCTCTCTGAGTCTCAGTGTTTTTATCTGTACGATGAAGAGGTTTGAGTAGATGATCTCTGAGGTTTCTGGCAGTCTGTGATCATATAACTCAAAGGGAGCCAGGATATCAGGATGCTGGACCTAGCTCTGACACTCACTGAGAGTGGGGCAAGCCATCGTGGGAGGAGGGGATTAACAAAGAGATTTGTTTCTTTGTGGGGGGTGGAAGCAGGGGCAGGATGAATCACATTACAGGCAATGAATACTCAGTGATTCACTCACCTGCCCGCTGTCTCCAAACTGACTCCTGAGTTCACTTTTTGTTATGCCTTATGGTGAGTCATCCAATTTCATGCTGAATTGAGAGCCCTAAAGAACAAGATAGGCCTCTGAAGCAATGCTTCCATGACCCAACTTTCCCCAGGGGAACATGGATGACCTGTCATCCACTCCAGGCAAGTCAGCCTTATTTAGGCAGTGGCAAGTACCATTCTCCTCCCCAAAATAATATAATTCTAGAATATTAAAAAAAAGTTTTCACATTTATCAGATTCTCAGAGATGGAAGGGGACTGAGAACATTGAGGGGGAAAAGGAAGAAATTCGATCAACTACCGGGTACGTGACTGACTACACAGTTCCAAATATCTGGATATTTGAGTTTGTCTGGATGGTTAGATATACAGAATTCCAGAGTGGAAAATGGTGTTACAAAATAGACTATATGATGTTAGACCTGGAAGGGCTCTTAGAACCTTGAATGTTAAGAAAGAGGGGGAACTTAGAATATAGACTATCAGAGCTGCAAGAGGTCTTAAAAATCATCTACCATCAAAAAAAAATTTAAATTAAAAAAAAATTTAAAAAAGAAAAAAATCATCTACCATTTGGGAGACATATTCCCCTCTCCAAAAGGTCCCTAGTCTGAGACGTGTGGAGGCTGAATTAACCTTAAAATCACTTAAAATAGAATGCCTTTAATGCTGATGAGCTCAATATGGGGGGGGGGAGGTTCAGAGATGAGGCTAATTAGGGAACAGCCATGGCCTGTTTAGTTGAGATTCTGCCCCAGAGCAAGAGGGCAGCTAGATGACCTCTTGATGTCTTGTCCAATGCTTGGTTCCTTAAAGCATTGAGCAGGAGGCCAAGAAGATGGAGTCTTCAGGTTGCTCAAACATCAAGGGAGGAAAGGAAGAAATTCAATCAACTGTCTGGGTATGTGACTGACTATACAGTTTCAAATATCTAAGTATTTGACTAGGTCTCTATGATTCGACATCATTGTCACCCATTTTCTACCTTTCCAACTTCTGCTTCCCAACAAGGACCCTTGCTCATTTGTTGAAATTTTACTCAAGTGAAATGAGCAGAATCAGAGACATTCTACACAGTCACAGAAATATTGTACAATCATCAACTGTGAATGACTTAGCTATTCTCAGCAATACAATGATTCAAGACAATTCTGAAGGACTTATGATGAAAAATGCTCTTCATTTGGGGAGAAAGAACTGATGGAGTGTGAATGCAGATTGAAGCATACTTTTAAAATTTTTTTCTTTATATTCTCTTTATTTGCATTTTCTTTTGCAATGTGGTTAATATGGAAATGTTTTGCATGACTGCACAGGTATAATCTGTATCAAATTACTTGCCTTCTAAAGGAGGGGAAAAGGAAGAAGGGAAAAAGAATAGGAACTTAATTTTTTTTAAAAAAATGAATGTTAAAAATTTTTGTTTACATGTAATTGAGAAAAAATAAAATAAAATAACTAAGTGAGAAAAAAAGAAATTTCACTGATTCTTTAAAGCTCAACTCAAACGTTTCATTCTCCATAAAGCCTTCCTTGATCTTCCCACTAGTGACTTTCCTTTCAGAACTCACACACAACTTTTTTGGAGTCTCTCTAAAGCACTTACCATGAGATGTTCCATATTATAGCTGTCTGTGTTTTATGCCCTTTCTAGACCCCAAAGTTCTAGAGAGTAGTGTCTCTGTCTTATTTGACCTTCATATTTCCCTGGGGTTTAACACACTGTTCTGCACAAAATGCTAAAGAAACAAACACATGACCTCTCTCTCCCCCTCCCATCTAGTGCAGCCAAATCTCCTCAACTGCCTTCACACATACTGTGCTTCTATTCCACTCTCCTCCCTACATATAATTTTCTCTTCTTCTTCAGCTCCTCCCCATCCATCAAGGCCCCTCTACAAGGAAGTCCTCACCACTTACTCCAACACGCACTGGTCTATCCCTCCCTTTAGCTCCTCCTTTCACTTACATGGTGGGCCACACATTCTCACACTTGCTTCTCTTTCCATCTCTCCAGTCTTATCTTCCACTAATTTCCTACTATCTCCATTCCCATATCCTTCTCTCCAGGTCAATTTATTCACTGTGCTCAGATGATACCCTGGTCTTCCCTGCTTCTACCTTTGCTCACAGCATCCCTTCTCTTCCCATCCCCCCATAAGACTTTGATGCCTTCCTCTGTCCCTCCTCTCCATCTCCTGTCCAACCTTCAAGGCCCAGATAAACCCCTGCCTCCCAGAGCAAACCTCTCACAACCAATTCAAGGCTCTCACCCTTTTCTGAGCTCATGTCCATACCATTCAAATTGCACCTTCACAATGTTTCTTATACTGAGGTGCCCTGGAGTGGAAAAAGACCAAGACTTGGGTCAAGTCACTTCTCTCTGTGCCATGGTTTCCCCACATGTAAAATGAGGGCAATGATCCTATACTATCCACTTCCCAGAGTTAGTCTGAGAATCCATTTCAATATAATATAATTTTCAAAAGATCTATTAATTTACTGTATGCTGAACCCTGTGGCCAAAATTGGAAGAGATGGTCACTGGACTATGCATAACATACTCACAGATACTTGTAATACACATAGTACATAAGCAGTTAAGAGAGAGACAGAGCCAAGTGCCACGTGAGGTCCAAAGGAGAAGGTTGTTTTCAACAAGAGGGCACCCTCCTTCTGAGATTATCCTCAGTTTATCCTATATTTATTCTGTTTACATAATTGTTTATATATTGTCTCCCCCATTATTAGATTGTGAACTCCTCAAGAATAGAGACTGGATTTTGGTTTTTGCCTCTCTTCATATCTCCTGGCACTTAGCACAATGGCTGACACATAACAGGCATTTACTAAACTCTAGTTGACCGACTGACTAAGCCACCAGAGGAAACA